TTTTGGGAGGAAAGTGAAGACAAACCTAGACAGCATTCTCAAAAGCTGAGACATCACCTTGCCAACAAAGGTCCGTATAGTCAAAGCTATGGTTTTTCCCCATAAAGAAAGCAGACCGCCGAAGAATTGATGCCTTTGAATTGTGGTGCTGGAGGAGGCTCTTGAGAATCCCCTGGACTGCAAGGAGAACAAACCTATCAATTCTAAAGGAAATCAACCCTGAGTGCTCACTGGAAGGACAGATCCTGAAGCTGAGGCTCCAGTACTTTGGCCATCTCATGAGAAGAGAAGACTCCTTGGAAAAAACCTTGATGTTAGGAAAGTGTGACGGCAAGAGGAGAAGGGGACGACCGAGGATGAGATGGCTGGACAGTGTCTGCGAAGTAACCAACATGAATTTGACCCAACTCCGGGAGGCAGTGGAAGATAGGAGGGCTTGCCGTGCTCTGGTCCATGGGGTCACGAAGAGTTGGACACGACTAAACGACTAAACGAACGATGGTTTTTCCAGTAGCGATGTATGGAAGTGAGAGCTGGACCATAAAGAAGGCTGGCCGCCGAAGAATTGATGCTTTTAAATTGTGGTGCTGGAAGAGACTATTCTAGAGAATCCCCTGGAGTGATCACTGGAAGGACATATCTTGAAACTGAGGCTCCAATAGTTTGGCCATCTCATGAGAAGAGAAGACCCCCTGGACAAGACCCTGATGTTGGGAAAGTGTGAAGGCAAGAGGAGAAGGGGACAACAGAGGGTGAGATGGCTGGACAGTGTCTGCGAAGCAACCAACATGAATCTGACCCAACTCCGGGAGGCAGTGGAAGATAGGAGGGCTTGCCGTGCTCTGGTCCATGGGGTCACGAAGAGTTGGACACGACTAAACGACTAAACGAACGATGGTTTTTCCAGTAGCGATGTATGGAAGTGAGAGCTGGACCATAAAGAAGGCTGGCCGCCGAAGAATTGATGCTTTTAAATTGTGGTGCTGGAAGAGACTATTCTAGAGAATCCCCTGGAGTGATCACTGGAAGGACATATCTTGAAACTGAGGCTCCAATACTTTGGCCATCTCATGAGAAGAGAAGACCCCCTGGACAAGACCCTGATGTTGGGAAAGTGTGAAGGCAAGAGGAGAAGGGGACGACAGAGGACAAGATGGTTGGACAGTGTCATTGAAGCAATCAAAATGAATTTGACCCAACTCCGGGAGGCAGTGGAAGACAGGAAGGCCTGCCGTGCTCAGATCCATGGGGTCACAAACAGTCAGATACGGCATAATGACTAAAGAACAACAACAACAGTCCGAAGAAGCTTGATCAGGAATGGTGGCAGCCAAGAAACTATTTTTTCAGAAGGAGAACAGGGTGAAAAGGCTTGGAGTGGAGAATAGTGAAAAAAGTATTATGGAGTGGTGATTCCAAGTTTGAAATGTTTGGGTCCAATCATCAACAATATGTGAGGAGAAGAGTTGGAGCGAGATGGAAGCATGAGTGCTTGCGGCCTTCAGTGTAACATGTTGGAGGGTCTTTCCTCATTTGGGGCTGCATTTCTGCTATTGGTGTTGGTGATACTGTCCCTGGGATCATGAATGCTGAAAAGTACAAACAGGTTTTAATTCATCATGCCGCTCCTCCTGTCTTATTTTCGGGGAAACACAGTAAGAGAAAGAAAAGAAAAATGGCCCACTAAACTGTAACTTAATCTACAGCATTGATCTATAGTGTGACATTCGTGATTTTGTTTCTGACAACAGGGTTTTCAAGCTCTGACTATCTTGTAGTCTTCATTGCTTATACTAGAATATGAGACTCTCTGGAGTTATTGCCTAGGGATCAACTGTGAGGGTTCTAAAGGGGGCTCCTCTTTTCCCCATATAAATTAGCAAACTTAAGAGGTTTAGAAATCAGAGTAACATTTATTGCAGTGTTTAAGAGAAAACTAGTACAGTGGAATCTCTACTTATGAACTTAATCCATCCAGAAGATGTTCGTTAGTTGAAACGTTCGTAAGTAGAAGCAAAATTTCTCATAGAAATGCACTGAAAACCGATTAATCGGTTCCAGCCGAAGGAACCCCGCCCCCAAATGAAAATAAACAGAGCAAGTCCCCTGCTAGGACTGAAAAAAAAAAGAAACATAGCCCCCAGCCCAAACCTACCCTCCAAAAGCCACCCAAAACAATTTTTTAAAGGAAAAAGCAGCGCCTTACCTGTTTGAAGCCTCCCGGGAGTCCCCCGCCGCCATGATCGCCACCATCGGAGACCTCACGGGGGTCCCCCACCACCATGATTGCCACCTTCGGAGGCCTCTTAAGGCTTCCCCGCTGCCATCGGAGACCTCCCGGGGGTCCCCCACCACCGCAATTGGTGCTTTCGGAGGCCTCCCAGGGCTTCCCCACCTCGATGCAGGCTTTCCCGGGACCACCAACGGATCATCAAGTTCAGCCCCTGTTAAGGGACAGTGGGGAATTATGCTCCCAGCCTCTGGCTCCACAGCCATACCTAAAGCTATAAGATTAATGCATTTTTTTACAGGATAAACATTCATAGATTTAAGATCCACCTCACCAGGGTCACAAAGTGTTGTCCTCCATTCTCAACTGGACATACATAGGGGTATAGAGGGAAAGAAATGGAAATATCAAAAGGAAATTCAGTGTAAATAAGAACAGTTTGACAATTAAATAAGAGATGGGCATGAACTGCGAGTTTGGCAGTTCGTGCTGGTTCATTTACCGGTTGAACTGGTGTCTGGCTCTTTCCAACCCCACATCCTCCAGCAGGTGCCCACTCGGAGGCAGCACCCTGTTTTTGCTGTCCTGCCCCCTCTGGACATGCCCATCTCTACATTAAATGAAAGCTTAAATTTGTGCAAAATAAGAACAGTGACAGTTCCAAAACAGCATTGATAATAACAGGAGGAGTCTGCACTGCTGTTGTAATTTTCATTTGTATCAGGATAAACACCTGTATCTGATTTCCACAGGAGATAAAGCTGAATGTATTGACAAGTTGTACTTCACTGGTTTCATGCTGGAGTCTCCTTTTTCACATTTTTGTTTAATATCAGATGCTTTGAGATCAGCAGGACAGTGTCCTGGATTGATGGAAGTTTTTTTCTGGGACATTTCAACAGAAGATTCCCTGGTCTGGATTTTAAAACTGTTTTTGAATCTCCCTAGACTGCTAATATAGATACTTTAAATTTAGATAAAGTCATCCAGGTTTGATGGTTGTTGTGGGTTTTTTGGGCTCTTTGGCCATGTTCTGAAGGTTGTTCTTCCTGACGTTTCGCCAGTCTCTGTGGCCAGCATCTTCAGAGGACTGATTTCATCCAGGTTTCTTAATTGTTTGAGCTATGTGTTATTTCCTGGACATTTTCAGTAATTCCCAGAAAATCTGGGATGAATTTTCTTTTTCCTTATCTTGGTATCTAAATATTTAAAAAGAGAACACTTTTAGTGTTACGCATTTCTTCTACTTCCTCCTCTCGTCTTCTTTAGAATAATAGAGCAGTCCAGTAATGCCGAAATTGCTTCTTTCCCAATCTACAATGTGCTATTCTGTGTTCGTGGGCAAAATGGGACGGCGGAATGCGACTGTTTTGCATTTACTGAGAGCTTTTCTGACACTGATACATTCCAGATTCATGTCTTCTCCTGTGAAATAAAAGAGGCAGTGAGTAAAAAGCATTTCTATTGCTATTTCACAAAATATTAATTGCTACTGTAAAAATATATTATTTCAAAATTTTCAGATCAAGTTATTATTGCATACATTTTGGCATTCTTAAGCTCAAAAGTTGCCTTCACTGATAAACCATTAGTCTGAAGTGAGCAAACCATACCAGTTTCTGTAACCTACAATTCATTTTGTAATTGTAATTGGTATTGCACTTTTCCCATGCAGCATGCTTCAGCATGGTGCTGCCAGAAGATGTAAGACTGATAAAGAAAGGAGATAAGGGGGGGGGGACCTGTTCTGTTGCTGCACATACCTACTTTTTTCCACCACTTCTGTCAGTTATTATTGTTGTCATTTCATATTAATTGTTTTTATTCTGTGTTTTGTGAGCCACCCAGAGTAGACTATGTCTAAATGGCCAGCATATGAGCTCAATGAATGAATGAATGAATGAATGAATGAATGAATAAATAAATAAATAAATAAATGAATAAATAAATGAATAATAAATAAATAAAAGAAAGAAAGAAAGAAAGAAAGTTAAAATTAGGGAAAAAATGAGACAGTAAATGGTGGAATTAGGAACTGGCACACATACCTCTAAGAGGTAAATAGTAGGAAGGGCACCATTCCAGGCCTAGATTCATTCAGTTTTTATTGATTGATTATAGAAGCACTTGGGTAATTTCCAAGTTAGTCTGAAGTAAATTTGGGAGCTCTCACCCATCTCTACTGTGTAGACATTTGCTAAACTTCTGAAAAGTGCTACAGAAATTCTAGGTAGTAGATGGGGACGAATATAAAAATGAATCAGGATATTCAACGAATATCCCTGATTCGTCAGATATTCGTTGCTTCGTATTCTTGGGGTCCAGAGACCCCGACAAATATGAGACAATGAATATAACCCTTTTATATTCATCCCTTTGTTCCCTATCTGCTTATGGGCCAGCAGATCAGCTATTCCTTGGAGGCATAAGCAGAGAGGGATTTCCCTTTGGAAAGCTTGCTAAGGCCTCCCCAAAGGGAATCCCATACCTGGGGCTGGGGGATGGCTTGGGTCCCGCTTTCCTCCTTTTCCTATGCCCCCATGGCATAGGAAGAGGATGGGAGGGATCAAAGGGATCCCTCAGCCCCGCTGCCTTTGCAAAGGCAGAGCAGCTGCGAGATTGCTTAGATCACACTATGCCCCTCTTCCTATCCCTTCCCGGGTATAGGGAGAGGAGCAAAGGGGGACCCAAGTGATATCCCACTCCTGCTGTCTTTGTAAAGGCAGCGGGACTGGGGGATCGCTTTGATCCCTTCTCTCCTCTTCCTATGGAAGGCTGTTGGAGCTGGGGTTTGTTTTTTTTCAAATAGCCCCACGGTCTGTCTAAAAAAATACAACCTGACAAATCAACGAATTAATTTGTGGTCCATTGGGCCACTGGGGGGCAATTCTTGGTTTGTGGATCATCAGATTTGATGACCTACAAACCAAGATGAAAAGCCATTTTAGTGTTTTTGTCCCCATCTCTACTAGGCAGTGTAATAAGCATTATTCAGTTAATCCAACTCTCGGCTTCTCTGTGATGTGAAGGATGTAAGATTCAGAATGGCAGGCCTTCATGTTTTTCGTTAGTGACATATCACTCTCCAAAAATGTTCTGGTAATAAATAAAAGCTATCGTAATTGTATATAGGCCTCAATAGCTACCCCCAAAGTACCTCATGTGCATGTTAACAAATTAATTTTTTTAAAACCTCACTTTTTTTATAAAGTTGATTTTTGATGACATTTCAGAAGAGAAATATTGCAAGGAAAGCTCACCTAAAATACATTCTTCAAATGTAATTGTATCTGCTGATATATTTAGTCCATAAGAAATTGAAAATTTCTATCTTTTTATTATTTCATTATGATTGTGTTAGCAATCTCCTAGAGACCGAGACACTTTTTTTGTCAGGGACACAAATGGGTTGTACCTTCTTAGGTGATATTATCCAGTATGAGGAAATGTACTTCCTGAGAAACTAGCCAACACTGCTGAGAGGTCAGAAAGAATCACATTAATTTGAGAATGTATTGTCTACATTAATACTCCTTACTTAGTTTCACAGTAATTAGTTTATCAGGTTGGTGTATGTGGAAGGGTCTAATTAACAATTCACAAAGAACCTTGTGGTGAGCTCCCAAAATCATCATAGTTATTGGTAACAGTTAGCCTAGTGCTGATATTGTTTACGTTCCTGTTAAATATAAATATTTAAGTAAAGTTATAAAAATTGACAGAAATGTGTAACATTCTTGTTTTTCCTTGACTATTTATATGTCTTTGTTATTTGTCTGCACAACACTAGATATGTTAAAATAAATATAACTTTTTTAAAAATCTGATTGTAAAATCCATACAGTAGTATTTATTGGGATTTACTTCTAAGTAATGTTACTTCAGATTACAGCCTAGATGTAAGTTACTGTTTGAGAATGCTTATAGTAATAGATTTTTACTGCTAAGTAAATATTCCAAATTGTCTGAATGTCTTTGTTGGCCATTTTGTTGACTCATCTCTTATCTTTAATATATATGTTTCTATTTTCATTAACTTGCTAGGATCGGAACTGCTATTAAGTTTCAGATTCTATGTTGCACATAATATTTCTGAGGATAGAAACAATTACAGTAGCTATTTTTTTTAACAAATGACCTCTTACGCTAACATATCCTGTTATGCTTAATTTTTCTATAACCAATTATTTATTTCCTCTGCACTTTTCCCACTTGTTTTCCCCCTCAATTTTCTTCTCTTCCCTTCTCTTTTTCCTTGGGTCTAATTTTAGGTCAGCCGAATTTTGTATAGTTTCTCAACAGCATTCAAACGTTCCTCCAGACAAGAATCTGATCATACAAAGGACACTATTGTCCCAACACCTGATAGCAATATATTCACTTTCAGTGTTTCTCTGGAGGTCAAAGAAGACGATGGTAAAGGAAACTTCAGGTAAATGGAGGAAGTGAAAGAATTAATGGGGTTGCTTTGCTGGGGCTTTGAATTATCAGAAAGATTGGTCCAAGTTGCCCACTTATGTTGGAAAAAAGTTTGTATGACATGTTCAGAACTTCTGGAGTTTGGTGGAACTGATGAACAGTAGTTAGAACGGGAGAATCGGTATTTTGAACAGTGAACTATAATTTGCCTCTGTGGTCGTCCTTGCACATAACAGTAAGTAAGATAGCAGTTTGGAAATTCTTGCTTGCTGTTTTGTCTGAACCCATTCTTTTTAAAAAATAGTTTATTTGCTATCTGCAAACTACAGTTAGAAGCAATGGTTATCTATTGACTTGTAAACTCTGGCTTGTTTGTGACATCCAAATCCACAACTGTGGCTTGCCCTTTTTTTTTCATCCCAGCTAAAAGGAATGGAGAGAAAGCAGACCAGCAAGAAGGAAAACAAACTACTGATTGTTCTTTGTTTGTCTAGGGACAATGTGATTAATATAAGCCACAGCTGAGCATGATGTGAGAACATGCCCTGTATATCATGATACTGCGTATGGCTTTGTTCTCCTTTGTGGTCTCTGTGAATGCACACTAATGGGTTAATCTTTGCCTGAGCAGAGCAGCTTCGAAAACTTCTAGAACTCAAGCACCTGGTGCTGGGACCTCCCACCTAGGCGATATCTCCACCCCCAGCACTGGGTGCCTCAGTTCTGTTTCCTGCCACTGCTGTAGCAGCATTCACTCGGAGCTTGGTGGATTTTTGCTTCCCTGTTTTTTCCTAATCATCTTATTGAACATCCCTCGTGTTGATTTTGGACTGTTGACTTCTCTATCAGATTGTGCATTGGCTTTGAAAGAATAGAACTGTGTTTGGGGCGTTTATGGCCTCTTTGGGGCCTTTAAAATGTTGCGAGGCCTGCAACAGGAAGGTTCCCTTTACTGACGGACACTCCAAGTGCCTCTACTGTTTGGGGGAAGGGCATCAGCCGGCCTCGTGTGCTCGTTGTAAGGCCTTTGCAAAGCCTGCACAGGCAAGACAGGCCGAAGACCTGTGGTCAAAGTCTCTTGACCCGCCTGCCGTGGGAATGGACGCCCCGAGAGCCCCGCTGTCTGAGGCATTCTCCGTTTCTGGGCACTCTCTGCCGGCAGCAAAGAAGTCAGGGAAATCATCATCCTTAGGCTTGAGGTCGATGGCCTCTGCTTCGGCGTCGAGGCCTTCCTTGGGCCTGAGCCCAACTAGGAAAAAGAAGAGGCCTGTCCCATCGGTGGATTCACCCCATCCTTGAGCTCGTTCGCTGAAACCGACATCGCTTCCTAGGCGGGTTGTCGAAGTTGCTGTGTCAGACGATGAAGGCATTCCATCTTCAGGGACTGTGGGACTGGTGTCCCCTCATCTGAGCCAGGCCTCCAGGTCGCCTCAAGAGTCACCTCAACCCCGATCAGAGATGTTGGTTCCCATTTTGCCCGAGCCCGTGCCCCATAAGAAGAAACTGAAGGTCCGATATCTTGAGCCTGAGGCTGATCAGGGTCAACCTTGACTGGAGTCATCGCCCTGGGAAAATTCTTATGGGTTCCCGTCAAAAGCCTTCGGTTTCAAGGGTTCCACCTACTTGGCACCATTTGACCCCGCCACATTTTTTTGTGTTTAAGCAGTGACAATTATTTTGTGAATAATTTCAGAGGTTTCAACACTTGGAATCCTCTCTTTGTCGGCCGGCCGAACTACCTCCGTAGCCTCCAGCAAGGAGGTACCTTCGACCCTTGACACCTGCCCAACCAGTGTTGGGACCAACATCGGAACGTCGATGCCGAGTTGAACAACCCGCCTTGCCTGTTCTATCTCAGTCTTGAGAGGAGGAGTTCCTAGAGGATTTGTTGGACTCCAAAGACGGGGAGGCCCCAAAGCCTATTAAAACACAGAAAGACGGCCAGATCAATCTCAGCTCAGTCAATGTCCCAGGGTTCTCGGCGTTGTTCCTACTCTTCGAGACCGTACTTTGACCGCTCTAGGTCCCAACAGTCGACCTTTCAAGGTCAGTCTCGCCAGCAGGCTGGTAGGCAGAGGCAACGCCAGCAATCCTGCCGCCTGGACTGTAAGGCCAAGCGGTTGGTTTAGCCTTCTGCGGCTACCAGCACCACTACTCCATGGGGTTAGACTACCCCAGTTTTTTGATGCTTGGAGGTCAGTCATCTCTGACTCTTGAGTTCTCACGATCATCGCCACAGGTTATGCGATTGAGTTTAACTTTACATCTTACACAGGTTTTGTCAGGAATACAGACACTTCACCTGTCTCATGTGAGGAAGTAGATTTATTTATTTATTTATTAGACTTATATACCGCCCATCTAGACAATGTCTACTCTGGCTAGCTCACAACAAATAGAATAAAACAATAGTAATATTACAACAATTTTACAACAGTTTCAAAAAAGTTAGACAGTAATTCAAGATGGAAAGTAAAAGATAAATTAAGTAGTGTCTGGAGGGAAGGCTTTCCTGAATAGTCAGGTTTTAAGTTGGCTTTTAAAGATACCAACAAAGGAGCCAGATGGATCTCAGAGGAGAGATGATTCCAAAGGCGGGGAGCCACTGCCGAGAAGGCCCGGTTTCTTGTTTTTTCCTTCTGGACCTCCCTTAGCGTTAGGCTCCTCAGCCGCCCCTCCTGACTAGAGCGAGTGACACAAGTAGATCTAGGTAGGAGGAGGTGTTCTGTCAGGTATCGAGGTCCTAAAACGTTTAGGGCTTTATATGTAATCATTAAGACTTTGAAATCAATGCGGAGTTGAATGGGCAGCCAATGTAAGGTGGCCAGAGTGGGAAAGATATGTTGGTGTTTTCTCACCCCACTGAGAAGTCTGGCCGCCACATTCTGCACCATTTGAAGCTTCCGTATTAATCTCAAAGATAGCCCCATGTAGAGTGCATTACAGTGGTCTAATCTCGAGATTACAAGTGCATGGACCAGAGTGGTGAGCACCCCAACATCAAGATAGGGATGGAGCTGGGCAATCTGCCAAAGATGGTTCAAGCAGAGCGGACCACTGATCCCACCTGAGATTCCATGGTGAGTGCCAGGTTCAGATAGATCCCCAAGCTGCGAACCTCGCTCTTTGCGGTGAGAGTCGTCCCCCCAAAATTGAGGGAGTTTCCCAAACTGTCGATGGTGGGGCCACCCACCCTCAAGACCTCCGTCTTGTCCAGGCTCAGCCTCAGCCCATTCTCCTGCATCCATTGCAGTACAGTCTCCAGACAGCGCTGAAGGGGCAGAACGGCATCCACAGTAGTTAGAGAAAAAGAGCTGTAGAGCTGAGTCTCGTCAGCATGCTGATGGCACAATGGCCCACACCCAGCAGCCTCATATAGATATTAATCAGCATTGGGGAGATAACCGAGCCCTGCGGAACTCCACAATTGAGGATCCACAGGGCCAAAAACCTCTCCGCAAGCTGGACTTTCTGAGGATAATCCTCCAAGAAGGATTGGAGCCAGGCAAACGCCAGGCCTCCAATTCCCAGCTCAGAGAGCCTCCTCAGGAGGATACTGTGGTCGACGGCATCAGAAGTGGCTGAGATATCGAGGAGGACCAACAGAGATATTTTACCCCTATCGACCTCCCTCTGTAGGTCATCCAACAGGGTGACCAATGCCGTTTCTGTACCATGGCGTGGCCTGAAACCCGCCTGGAAAGGATCCAGGGCATTTGTTTCATCCAAATGAACCTGAAGCTGATTGGCCACCACCCTCTCCACCACTTTACTGATGAAAGAAACATCGACGACGGGCCTATAATTGCCGATGTCGTTCGCCGCCAAATTTGGTTTCTTCCTGATGGGCCTAATGAGTGTCTCCCTGAGGGCAGGAGAGACTCTGCCATCACGGAAAGATTCAATTATTGCTGTTGCCCATTCAATTGTTATAGGCCTGGCTGCTTTGATTAGCCAGGCCGGTCAAGGGTCAAGAGATGAGGTGGTGGCCCGACAGCGATCATGTGCTTTGTCCACAATGTCTGGCATCACAGGCTGAAAGAAGTCAAGATTCACTGGGCAAGGCGGAGCGCTGGACGTATTTGCTCGGTCCACTGTATCCAAAAAAGGAAAGAGGTCTCGGCAGATGGCCTCCACTTTTGATTTTTAAAATGCTGCAAATTGGTTGGGTGTGATACTAGAAGGAGGCTCATCACTTCGACCAATTCCGGATAGATTGCGGACTATACAAAAAAGTTCCGCCTGTTGATTTGAAGCTTTGCTTATCCGGTCAGCGAGAAGAGCTCAACTAGCAGCCCTTACCTTAGCAAGGTAAAGCTTAGTCGCAACTCTAACAGCTTTCCGATTGTAAACTGTCAGGCTTCATCTCCATTTGCACTCTAGCCTTCTCCTGGTTTGCTTCATCACTCGTAGGTCCTGATTAAACCAGGACGCAGGTGAAACTACATTGGAGAGGGCGTTTAGGAGCGATCATGTCTACAGCCCTGGTAGCAGCGGTGAACCAGCCTTCAACCAGAGCCTTGACAGGTAGCAGCGGTGAACAGCCTTCAACCAGAGCCTTGACAGGAGCGCCAGTCAGATTAGCCGGAATCCTTCTCATGGTATCCTGGAATCCTATAGGATCCAGTAGCCTTCGAGGGCGGACCATTAAAGTAGGTCCTTGCTCCCTGTGAGGATGGAGGGCCACTGATAGGTTACATTTTATTAGGTGGTGACCCGACCATGACAAAGACCACACTTGCTCCAGTTGGTGGAGAAAACCAGGTCTAGCATATGACCATCCACGTGTAGATAAGCTATTTTCTAAGGATGCCATCACTATGGTTGAGAATCCTGACATCTGAAGTAGCTTTTTTTCGCGCTACTTCATTATACTAAAGAAAGATGGTGGATTCCAACCTATTCTTGATCTCAGACCCTTGAATGTTTACATTACACCGCGGCGTTTTCGTATGGTCTCCCTCAACTGCACTATCTATATGCTTAGACAGGGAGATTGGATTGTACTTACTGATCTCAAGGATGCCTACTTTCATATCAGCATCCATCCTATCGGCACTCTCTTCGCTTTTCGCTGGATGGCGTAATCTATAAGTTCAAGCCTCTCCAGTTCGGATTGTCCACCTTGCCAAGAGTGTATATGAAATGTTTGGCTCCGGTGGCAGCTCCATTTGCAGTACATCACTGTCTTCCCTTACCTTGATGATTGGTTGCTGGTAGCATTGGCTTCTGAAACACTTTCGCGACATTTAACTTTTACTTTGTCTCTCTTGTCGGAACTTGGTCTCCAGGTCAACCACGAGAAGTCGACATTAACTCCTACCGAAAAGCTCACCTACATTGAAGGAGTCCTGGATGCAGTTTCTGGCTAAGCCTTTATCCCAGAGAGTCGCATTCTGAAAATACAAAAAATATTTCCTTATTTTACTGCAGGGGTGAAAGTCCAGGCTTTGCTGGTTCAGCATCTGTTGGGCCTTATGGCCTCCACCACTGCGGTCATTCAACGTGCCATGTTGAAGATTTGATCCCTCCAAGTTTGTTACCTGGCACTGTTTGAACTTCTGACCAACCCATCTTCCAAGGCTCTTACGGTTTCGGTGGAGCTAGCAGATCAACTGACCTGGTGGTCCTTCTGCTTGAATCTCCTTGTGGGCAGAACTTTCGGCCCTCTGTAGCCATCAATCCAGTTCACCACAGATGCCAGCATGACTGGTTGGGGAGCACACATCCAAGACCTGTTGGCAAACAGTCATTGGACTCCAGAAGAAGCTGTCTTCACATCAACCTTCTTGGCTGTCTTCAAGGCCCTTCGGGCATTCAAGCGTCTTCTCACGGTGAGAGTGGTGCAGCTGGCAACCGAGAACACCACAGTAGTGTGCTACCTCAACAAGCAAGGGGGCACTCGCTCCCAATGACTGCTATATCTCACCATCCAAATCTGGGAGTGGTGCTACGAACGCCACATCTTTTTAATTGCTATTCATGTAGCCTCCACCAACAATGTCCTTGCGAATCAGCTGAGTTGGTTACAGGACAGTATTCACGAGTGGTTGCTGGATGGTGGTGTCTTTCATTCCCTCTGCCAGAAGTGGGTCACTTCATGCTTGGATGTGTTTGCATCTGCCATCAACAGGAAGTGCGACCTGTACTGCTCCCAAGCAAGGGCAGGGACCAATTTGAAAGGGGATGCGTTCATGGTTCCCTGGACAGACGGGCTGCTGTACATGATTCCTCCAATCCCTCTAATCCAGAAGGCTATAATCAAGATCCAGCAAGATTGAGCAAACGCCATCCTCGTCGGTCCCTGGTGGCCTTGCCAACCCTGGTTTGCCGCTCTACATCAGATGACCATGGATCACTTTTGTCTCCTGAACCTTCCTCCTCTGCTCTCTCTCCACAACAGCAGGACACTCCATCCAGATCTGGACTCCCTGCATCTCACAGACCTTCAGTAAAGAATGTCCTTAGTCGGGCTTCCACTCTGGCTACCTATGTGCGGAAGTGGAAATCTTTCTCTGACTTTGCTGCTGAGCACAACCTACCTGTGTGTCCTACCTCATTGGACGTTTTTCTGAGGTTTTTCCTCCTTCTCTTCCAGCGTGGTCTGTCACACTCTACACTTAAAGTCTACATTTCTGCGATAGTGGTGTATCAGCCTCCTCTTTCAGATGCAGCCAAGTTATTTCAACATCCAATGTTGAAACAGTTCCTCAAGGGCCTCCGCAATATGCGCCCAGCCTACAAGGCACCCACGCCACTGTGGTCTCTCCAGCTTGTCCTCCATAAGTTGATGTCTCCATCTTTCGAACCTTTGGCTTCTACCTCTTTGAGACTACTTACCTTCAAGACGGCCTTCCTCCTCACTGTTACTTCAGCAAGGCATGCGAGTGAACTCATGGCCTTGCGGATGGATCCTCCCTTTATAATTTCATCCCGACAAACTTACTCTGTTTCCAGATGTCTCCTTTCTCCCAATGGTGGCAACATCCTTCTACCTTAGTCAACCGGTGGTCATTTCTACCTTTTTCCTAATCCTACGACTAATTTGGAAAAGTCACTTCACTCCTTAGATGTCAAAAGAGCCCTGGCTTACTACATCTCCAGGACTGAGCCCTTTAGTTCCTCCCAAAGACTGTTTGTGTCTTTCCAAGGGCATTCTAAAGGTTCTCCTGTTTCACCCCAAACCTTTTCCAGATAGGTGGTTGCAACAATCAAGCTGGCATACGAGATTGTTCACAAAACTTTGCCTTCCATTGTTCGAGCCCACTCCACTAGAGCAGTTGCTTCCTCCACGGCTTTCCTATGTGGAATTGAGCTGACTGATGTCTGCAAAGCTGCAACATGGTCCACACCATTCACCTTTGCAGCACATTACCACCTCAATGTTTGCGCCAAGGCTGAGGCTGCCATGGGAAAGAGCTGTGCTGGCTTCTGTCTTGTCGTGACACTCACCTCCTGGTAAGTCAGCTTGCCAGTCACCCATTAGTGTGCATTCACAGAGACCACGAAGGAGAAAAAGAAGTTGCTTATCTGTAACTCTGGTTCTTTGAGTGGTACTCTGTGAATTCACACGTCCCGCCCTCCTCCCCACTGTTCGTTACGTATGTCATTAGATATGCTATACAGCGGCAGACAGTTCTACGCAATTGAGGCTCTCAATGCTGGGGGTGGAGATATAGCCTAGGTAGAACGTCCCAGCACCAGGTCCTTGAGCTCTACAAGTTTCCAAAGCTGCTCTGCTAAGGCGCAGATTAACCCATTAGTGTGAATTCACAGAGTATCACTCGAAGAACCAGAATTACAGGTAACTTCTTTTTTTGATGGGTGCATATTCTTCAGTTTCTCTAAAGCAGAGGTTGTCAACCCCTGGTCCGTGGTCTGAGTTGGACCGGGCCATGGAGACAGACCTCCTACCCCCCTGCATGCACTCCCCTCCCCACAGATGTTTTGCGCATGTGCGCACGTGCCAGCACTGGCGTGAGTGTTCCCCCACCCCTTGATGCATATGCCTGAGTGCCTGCGTGAAGGGGTGGGTAGGCATGCACGCACTCCTGCGCATGTGCGAAGGGGTGGGGAGCGCTCACACTGCCATGTGTGCACTCCCCCACCACTTCACACGTGCCCAAGAGCGCATGCACATATTTGAGTGTGGGGGGAGGAACCCCGCCTTCCTCAGAGGCTCAGCTGGTCTGCGGTCCCAAAAAAGTTGGGGTCCGCTGCTCTAAAGTAGTGGAAGTTAATTGTATTTCATTTTTCTGTGATTTGTGGTTCCTGTACTGAATTAAATAGCTAATGGTTTTTTTCTTGTTTAGCCCAGTACCAAAGGACAGAGAGAAATTTTATTTCAAATTAAGGCAAGGAATTGAGAAGAAGGTTGTGATCACTATCCAACAGAATTCCAACAAAGAATTGGCCATTGAAAGGTAGTAGTAAAATTAGTAACTTTTGAAATACCTTGTAGTATTATTTTCAGCAGCTTGACAAGATAAAAGTAGAACTGAAAAAAGAGAACAAATAATCTATTCTCTTTCTTCATTATATTTTAAGTAATTTGGTAAAGTGCATGTGCTGTTATAAAAAAGAAAAAACTGTTTTGAAAAAGTATTGTATATAAAAAAGAAAATTATATGGTATTGCACAATTTCTCTTTATTGGCTGGAATCCTGTTGGCATAACTATTTTGTGATGGTGATGACATCATTAGCCTGAGACATTAATTAATATAATATAAATCTTCCTTTACAGGCTCCTAGATTTTTTGGCTTACTGTTGACCTGAGAAAACCTTTGGGAGTCTCTGGATGTCAGTGAGAGTCTGTAATACCAGGAAATCACTGCCAGACCAAAAGGAGTCCCTAGGGAGCCTCGGAACCTTGGCTGGCAAGTGGGGTGGAATAGGAAGTTTTAAATTAAATAAAATTAAAGATTAATATTGCAGACTGATGATGTCATTGCTATTTATGCTTGTAAAGTTATGCCAGTAGAATTCCAGCCATTGTGTTATTTTTTTCAATTTTTCAAAATGTTTGTTTACATATAGAAATAGACTTTATGTCATAATTATGAATTCTTAAGTTTTTTAAAAAATTGTGGAATGTAACAATGAATACAAGATACTGCTTTAATGAATTGCCCTGGATGTATTGTATCTGGCTATATTGAACTACATAAGAGTTTCAAAAAGCTTTTCGAGCTGTGGCAACTTTAGATTAGACTCCTTGTCTAGCTAATTTTAAACAAAGAGAAATCTAGAGATCTAGGCATAGAAATCAGGAGTACAGTTCACAGATTCCTGTAGCATAGCTGTTGTGAGGTTCTGGAAATTTGAGTTCCAAAAATTAACATTTATCATTTCATTTCAACATTTAGTACCGTAATTTAATAACAAAAGGCTTGAACAGCTTTTTAAAAATAGCATTTAAGTTGAAAGTCCTCTAGGTGGCAACCTTCTCATTAGGATTTAAATTACTGTAGTTTCATACAGGGACATCAGCGAGTTTTTGCTGAGAACTGCAATGTGGATTTTTTCAGACTATGGAACTATTCAGCACTTCTTTCTAGTTATTATTTTATTGCTTTTGTCATCTTTCTTTTTTATCAAACAGGAAAGGTTTAGACAACTAGAAGTATAAATAAATTTTCCTGTCTGTGAATTGTGTACCTTTGAGCCACTGATCTAACCGATAGAAGTGGTGATATTTATGCTGACACAGAATAAATTCTAGATTCCATGTGGAGGTGATACTATTGAGCAAATTTGAGAAGGTTTATTTATTTATTTATTTATTTATTTATTTAATTTATACCCCCCTATCTGGTCAGTGAGGACCACTCTAGGCGGCTAGGTTTTGAATGGCTCTAGGTTTTGAATGGCTCCAAATGGGAGGTAGAGAGAAAGGAAAATGGTGGGATCTTTCTCTGCAGGTCAAGCAATAGTTAATGGCATTGGGTTGCACACACTCCCATCCCAGGTCAAAATCTTTTACAGTATTTTCATAGAAATAGAAAAGTGAAGTTGGAAGGGGCCTATAAGGCCATCAAGTCCAACCCCCCGCTTAATGCAGGAATACAGTCAAGGCATATCTGCCAGGTGATTATATAGGTTTTTCTTGAATGCCTCCAGTGTTGGAGCACTCACCAATTTCTGAGGTAGCTGGTTCCACTGTCTTACTGCTCTAACAGTTAGGATGTTTTTCCTGATATTCATCCAAAATCTGGCTTCCTTTAACTTGAGCCCATTGTTGCGTGTCCTGCACTCTGGGATGATTGAGAACATATCTTGTCCCTCCTCTGTATGACAGCCTTTCAAATATTTGAAAAGTGCTAGCCCTCAATCTTCTTTTGTCAATGGTTTTCATCATTTGCATGTTTTTTCTTTCTATTTGGACAAGTACAAACACGTGTAATACTTCTGAATATTTGGATACGAATTGAAGCATGCAGGCTACAGATTGGTCGGGAGTTGTTTGACAAATAATTTAGACAGAATCGAAGTGGATGGTATACATCTTTATTCTAAATGTTTGTTGCATTTTGCCAGTTAACTCCAATTTTAAAGAACATTATTTTGGCAATTTTCTGAATTCTGGGATGGCTACGTCCTTTCAATAGATTAAAAGGTTTTTTTTGCTAGCCCTGCTTTTGCCTAGGGAGTAGGGGAGGAACCTTTGCTGCCTGTTGTGCTTCCTGCCAACTGGAGTGGAATTTCAGAGTAAGTTTGACCTCAAGATTTAGTTCAAGGGTACTGCTCTTAATTGTTGTTTATGAGAGGATTAATGAACTTCTTGGTAGTGCTAGTCATCTGCTTCTTCAACAGCCTCCTAAACACATTTTCCTTCAAGTTATGAGGCCTGATGGCGAAGAGTTGAGCAAATGTGGGTAGTTGCATAAAACCTTTCCAAATAACAACAACAACAACAACAACAACAACAATGTTGTTGTTGTTGTTATTATTGTTATTGTTATTGTTATTATTTCCACAACTGTTGGGCTTCAGTACAGGGACAAGCACCAATCTCACATTCATGCTGCTATTTCATTAGAAAGTTGTGATTGATAAAATGTTCATATAATTCAGTACTTTTAAAATTAAATTTTCTTATTTTTATTCTCTACATACAATCTGCAGGTGCTTTGGGATGCTGCTAAGTCCAGGCCGAAATGTGAAAAATTGTGACATGCATTTACTGGATATGGTAATAATTTCCTCTGACTACTAGAGAATATGTGATAACAGTTCACTTCCTCTCAAAAGGATTGTGTCAGAGTATCCATGATTTTGCCTTATAAAATCCACTATTAATTTCTGTTGGAAGTGGAAATGCTCATGTGTTTTTTTGTGGAAATATATATATATATGTTTAAATATGAAGACTAACACAGTAGGATTTGAAATTCTTATGCTTTTAATGTTTTTTGTTTTCTTGGTATACTTCAGTAACTGTTGCATAGGCTCCTGGAAGAAACATGGTAGAGAAATGTGTTAATTTTCCAGGAAAATCAGTAACAATCATTAAGAAACAAATAATGAGGGGCTGGAATCCTCTTGTGTAAAATTAGACTCTGTATATTGGATGACATTTTAACCCCCGATAGGAACATTTAATTTAGATTAATTACAATTTCCCTCCCCCCCTTTCAAGTTCTGAGGCTCCTTCGGGTTCTCTTTTGCCCTGGGGAAGGTCCACGGGGGGTGATCTAGCAGCAGTATTTTGGCTGTTAAATGCTACTCTCACCTCATCCAGAGTCTCCCCAAGAGCTTCTTCAGGGCAAAAGGGAGTCCTAAGGTCCCTAGGAGTTTGAAGGAGGGGATAATTAAATTAAATATCCTTTTTTTCAGATGATGATATCATGCATCTTATGCTGCATAACTTTATGCCAGCAGGATTTCAGCAACAGTTTTCTTCCTGCCTAACTTAGTTCTCCATACTACTTAATCATACTACACAAAAAGTATGTAGAATATATAAAATGAGTTCTGGTTTATGAGAACCCTTTCCAGGGTTTCCTTGGTATAAAGTACCAGAAGTGGTTTCCATTCTCTTCTTCTGGATGTGCTCTGGAATTGTGCAACTTGTCTAATGCTACATATGCTACCTCTTGGGAGGTACTTTGGGGAATTTAACTTCTGGCTTCCTGCTCTTTAGCCAGGCATATAACTCTCAGAGCTATCAGTAATGTCGGATATATAGATATTATGAAATTATATAAGGAGAGACTATGGTTACTTTCCAGTGTAACAGATACAATGATGATCTGTTAACTTCCATATGCATAGCGGTTTTTCCTGTGTTATGTAGTTGGCAGCAAGAAGTGCATTAGTTTGGCTTAGCCTAGTGTTACGTTCCTATACTATGTGGAAAAATCATTATTACAATGGAATTATACTATGGCTGTAGTTTATGGTAGAAAGCCATGGAAAGCTGACAGGAGCCGAGTGGGGTCCAGTTCGGGACTCCTCATCCCTGTGGAATGAGGGTGGAGAGGGTAGAGAACCACAACGTGATGACAGTGCAGGAATTAGGACTGGGAGTGAGATGGGACCTGATAGTTGGTCCACTGGAATGAGAAGCTGTGGGGAAAAAAGAAACAAACAAGCAGCCTTTCTTGGGGGACTGTGAGGAACACGTCTCCTTAGAGAAGTCATTCCACGAGGGGAAGGAGCCAGATGTAGTTCCCATCACCCACCACCATTCTATTCTAGACTGGGTGAGATCTAGAAGGTGTGCCAGTGGGCAACTATGGGCAAGCTTCTGTCCCTGCTTCATACTCTTTAGCGGTGTACTTTAATCCTTGCACACCAGTCTTACTAGTTAGGACACCCATATAACCAAAATTAGCAAACAAGGCCCTTGTGGCTAAGGCACTTTCTTTAGGCACTCTCACCTTTGCCCCCAGGAATCACACTTGGGTGAAATATAGAATACAGTACAGTTGTACTGGTTAAATGCAAATACATTCTAGGTATTAATTAAGCTCCTGTAAGACTTTCCCATAAAACAATAAAATACTTACTAATAACTTTACTGCTTATTTACTAGGCTATTTTAAGTTACCATGACTAAATCTCGAATCAGTCATTGAAGGCTGTAAACCTGTCGTCCATCTTTTCCTTCTCCAACTTGTGCACACACACCAACAACTTACTTAGCCCCTCTTTCTATAACTTAAAGCAAAGTCTTTGCTCCATGATGGCATCCAATCATCACACAGTCCTTTGTCCGCAACTTCATGCCCAACTTGTAACTTTCCACAGCTCCTTCTCTCATCCCAGGCTGGTACGCCATTAGCAAGGAATGTTGTGGTTATCAGTCTTGAGAAATGGTCTTGGCTCTTCTTCTCAGGAACAAACAGTCTCTAATCAAGATGAAACACCTGCAACTCCTGGGAAACAAGCACTACAAAATCCATATCCTCACAGGGACCCTGTAATCAAGTGCTTTTATGCAAATGCCCAAAGTGTCCGAGCAAAGATGGAAGAACTGGAACATTTGGTGGCTAGGGATAACATTGATATAGTGGCCATAACGGAAACCTTGTGGAATTTGGAGAACCAGTGGGATACCAAAATCCCAGGCTATGAATTCTCTAGGAAGGATAGGGAGGTGGAGTGGCCATCTGTGTCAAAGAAGGGCCAGAATCCAGCAGAATGGAGATCGGCGGCGGATCTGACTCCATCATAGAATCACTGTGGGTTAAACTACCAGGCCCAAGGAGCGGTGTGGTAGTGGGGGGTTTGCTATCGTCCTCCAGATCAAAAACTTTATGGGGACCTTGAAATGGGGAGACAAATCAGGGAGGTGTCCAAGAGGGACAGGATTGCAATCATGGGGGGACTTCAGTTATCCTTACATTGACTGGGTCAATGCGTGCTCGAGTCAAGAAAGAGAGACCAGGTTTCTTGACATTCTAAATGACTGTACCTTGGGGCAACTTCTCGTGGAGCCCACCAGAGGACAGGTGACTCTGGATTTAATATTGTGTGGTAATCAGGACCTGGTTAGGGACGTGAATGTCACTGAGCCGCTAGGGAATAGTAACCATCCTGCAGTCTCTTTTGCAATGCATGTTGGGGGAAGAGTGTCAAGCAAATCTGACACAAAAACCCTTGATTTCCAAAGGGCGGACTTCCCTCAGATGAGGAAACTAGTTAGAAATTAAAAGGGAAGATAAAAAGAAGTAAATCTCTTCAGAGTGCATGGAGCCTCTTTAAAACAACAGTAGTAGAGTCCCAGTGGAAGTGTATACTGCAAAGAAAGAAGTGCTCAACTAAAGCCAAGAGGGTGCCAGCATAGTTAACGAGCAGAGTTAGGGAGGCTTTAAAGGGCAAGGAAATGGAAATCCTACCCAAATGAGGAAAATAAAAAGGAACACAAACTCTGGCAAAAGAAATGTAAGAAGATGATACAGAAGGCGACGAAAGAGGAACAATATAGAGGGGAATAATAAAAGCTTCTTTAAATTTATTAAAAGCAGGAAACCTGTCAGAGAAGCAGCTGACCCTCTGGATGGTGAGGGAAGTAAAGGGAGACCCGGAAATTGCAGAGAAATTAAATGAGTTCTTTGCATCTGTCTTCACACCAGAAGACCTTGGGCAGTTTCTGCTGCCCAAAAGACCCCTCCTGTCTAATGAATTAAATCAGATACAGGTTAAAATAGAAGATGTTTTAGACCTAATCAATAAATTGAAATCAATAAACCACCGGGCCCAGATGGCATCCACCCAAGGGTTTTTAAGGAACTGAGGAATGAAGTTGCTGATCTCTTAACTAAAATATACATCTTGTCCTTTAAAATGGCCACAGTGCCAAAGGACTGGAGGATAGCACATGTCACTCCAATCTTTAAAAAGGAAAGGAGGGGAGTACCGTGAAACTACAGTTTGCTTGGCCTAACATCTATTCCAGGGAAGATGGTGGAAAGCCTCATCCAAGATAAAATCTTAAAACACATAGAAGAACAAGCCTTGCTGAGGGAAAATCAGCATGGCTTCTGTAAGGGTAAATCTTGCCTCACAAACCTTCTGTCTAGATTTTCAGAAGGCACTTGATGTCCCTCGCCAAAATCTGCTGAGAAAATTGCACAGTCAGGGAATAAGACGGCAGGTCCTCTTATGGATTGAGAATTGGTTGAGAACCAGGGAACAGAGAGTAGGTGTCAATGGAGAGAGGTGAAAAGCCCCAGGAATCTGTCCTGGGACCTGTGCTTTTCAACCTGGAGACCAGGATAAGCAGTGAGGTGGCCAAGTTTGCAGATGACCAAAACTCTTTCCAGGGGGACCTGATTGAGATGTATAAAATTAAGCAGAGGATAGATAAAATGGATAGAGGGAAGTTCTTTTCCCTCTCACACAGTACCAGAACAGCCACTCAAATTGAGTGTTGGGAGACTGAAAACAGACAAAAGAAAATACTTCTTTACTCAGCGTGTTGTTAGTCTGTGGAATTCCTTACCATAGGATGTGTTGATGGCATCTAGTTGTCTCGTGTGGTCCCAGAGGCGTCTGGTGGGTCCACCGTGAGATACAGGAAGCTGGGACTAGACGGACCGTTGGCCTGATCCAGCAGGATTCTTATGATCTTATGCTTGTTTCAGTAATGTATTTTTAAATTGTATGTGTTTCATCTGCATCTAAATGTCCAGATGTAAAACTGGAAATTGAGAGTTAATCTTGACGAAAATCATTTTTTGTGTGCTTAGGAGTCCATGGGGAAAAGCTCTGATGGAAAATCTTACATTATTACAGGGATTTGGAATCCTAAAACACCTACCTTTTTGGTTCTAAATGAAGAAACTCCGAAAGGTAATTATGCATGTAAAGTTGTGGTTGTCAGCCTTAAAAAATAAAAGAGCTGGGTGGTGATTTTATGCATTCTGACAGTAATAGTAAAGGTGACTAGTTATTTAGACCACTGAAATTTCATACACACAGGTTAGCCTTGACTCTGCAGGGGTTATCAGGCTGGATGTTACACAACTGGGAGTGGTGCAGAAAAAACAGAAGTTCCAAAACTATTGCCAGATGTCTTGCCAGGTTGTTGTTGTTTTGACTTGTTTTCTGCCCGATAGTGTTAAAGCACCCTCTGGGTGGTTTATAGCATAACTATGCAAACAATACTTTGCCCCCCAGCAAACTGGGTACCTGTTTTATTTGGAAGGATGGAAGGCCGAGAACCCATTAGGATTGAAAAGAGGGCTTAGTGATTGTAGGTTTCACATTTCACCTCTGACAGTACATACTAAAATGCTCCTTGTTTGTTTGACAAAGAGCTACCAGTCTCTAAGTATCTGTACCCTACCACAATGGCTTATATTAAAACATATAGTTCTCTTTTGGCTGAGGGACAGAGGCACATGGGAACATGGCAAATTCCATATCAGAGAATTTGGGATAAAGCTTAGTTCATACTACATGTGTGGACTTGTACAGTGTCAAAAGCTAGCTTCTCTTTGTGAGATTTTAGTAGTCTAATAAACATATTACTCATCCTTGTCTTCTGTCTGTCAGTCTTGCATTCCATGTATTTGCAGGACTGCAAAGTGAATTTAATGTCTTGTGCACCCTCTAGTCTGAGCAAGATTTGTCGTGCACCAAATTATATAGTGGCACATAGAATGATTGATAAAGCATGCCAGCTGTAGATACTGCTTCATCAGTTTGATTTAAAAAAAAAATTCGCCTCCCCCGGTGGAAAAAAAAATAGAGGCTTCCAATGAGAAACAAAGAAGACATTTGGGGAAAGGGAATGGAGGATGCAAAGGAGAAGAAGAAATAGAGATGGGAGGTTAAAAGCTTGATAGAAGCAGCATGTTTTCTGATGCTGTTTAGACACTTGTGGAAGGATAGAGATCTGGATCTTCAAGAGTTCCAGAGAAAAGGGGACAGTAGTGACGAGACAGACACCAACTGTAGTAGTACAAAGTTTGGACAAGAAAGGTATGTCAGAATAATAGAAACTGGGAAAAATATTTTCAGTAAAATTTGCCACAGAAGCATTATCTTTTTATTTTGCAATATTTAATTACACAACAAATGAATAAATTCAATTTATTGTTTTAGAAAACAGCCCTTTGCAGATTACATAATTTAAAAAAATAACAGTACAATACATTATAGTGCAATATTTAATCATTGGTTATCCTATGTAACATTTAATGTCCATTGTGTTCTACAGATAAGCGTGTATACATGACTGTGGCAGTAGATATGGTGGTCACAGAAGTAGTAGAACCAGTTCGTTTTTTGCTAGAGACACTTGTACGTGTGTATCCTGCCAATGAACGCTTTTGGTACTTCAGCAGAAAAGCTTACACAGAAACATTTTACATGAAATTAAAACAGGTAATGCTTTAAAAAAACAAGAGGAAAAACAGCTTAATGGGAAAGTTTATATGATTCTTCTCTGTCCAAACATTTATTTCTTTGCATTCTTCTCAAAGTGCTATAATTAGTGGGTAAACAAGAGTCTGACACTTATAATGTAATTGTCAACTTAGAATTGAAGAAGGGACAGTGAAGGGACAACTTGAGATGCTGTAGGGACCTCATGGGTGCCAAGTGTGGGCTGTGTAAGTTTGTTAGCCCAGCACATCAGCAGGGCATACATTTATATACAGTAATTGCAACTGAAAGTGAGGTTCAAAGCAATAGATTTAGGAGGGCTTCTTGTTAACTCTGCTGTCATAGTCAGACGATGTCGTAATCATGTTTTGTTTGAAAGCCACCTTTCCCTTTTGCAGAGGTGTTAGAGCAATCAAAATGGTCTAACTCAGGAAACCTAAGGTACTGTGGGATCCTTGGAAGAGTTTCTAGCTTAACATGGATGAGATTTCTGTTTAATCTCATAGCTTTTGAACAAACTGCCCAAGGAAGCCCCCTGCTATTCCCATCCTTATAAACATCTGTATGAAGCCACTAGATGTCATCAGGGGGTTTGCAGTGAGGTGACTCTATTGAAGATGGATGCATTTGTTCCTGATTTCCTTTAGGGAGAAAGCCAGTCTGATCCTTATGCACCATCAGAATTAAAGCCTTTTTCAGTCTATTGGCTAGAATTGAAGCAAATATCTTGTAATCCACATGTAAAAGAGGTATTGATCTGTAATTTTTAATTTGACTCCTTTCTGTTCCTGATTTATGTATTAAAGATATCTGAGCCTCTTTCCATAATTCAGGTATTTTTCCACCTTTCTTGATAACTTCTATTAGTTTTTAAAAATGTGCCATCAATTCTTCCTGTAAGGCTTTGTAATATTCTGCCAGCAGCCCATCTGGCCTGGTCTTGTTATTTTTCTGTTTTTTTCCAAGCTTCCATTATTTCATTCATTGCTATAGGGTTGTTCAGTTTTTTTAACTGTTGCTCCAAAAATTTCCAGGGTGGGATTCCTTCAAATAATTTTTCTTGTTATTGCAAAGATATATGTTTCTTTTTATATAAATTTTCATAAAATTTCATGGCTATTTCTTTAATTTTTTTCCTGATTGAAGGTTTCCTTCCCTTCCTTGTCTAAAAGTGAATTTATCATTGCATTTTCTCTTTCTTTTTAATCCTAAATGCCAACCATCTTCCCAGTTTATTTGCATTTTCAAAAAAATTCTGTCTTGCAAATTTTATTTTCTTTGCCATCTCTTCCTGGTCAAACAAGTGAATTTTATGTTATAATATATTAATCTTATTTTTAAATTGTTGTATTATTGGATTTTTCTTAAACTCCTTTTCCTCTTCTTTGAGTGCCTTGATTAAACTTTGATATTGTTTCTTTCTTTTTTCTTTTGCGTTATTAGATCAATTGCTAAACCTCTAAAATAAGCTTTCCCTTCCAAACATTAGCAATTCCAGTATCTTGAGGATTCTTTATTTTTTTTAAATTTTTAAATTTTCTTCAAGTTTTCCTCATCTTCTATATAGATGTGTTTAATCTCCATATTCCTCTTCTTTGTTGCTGACCCGGAGTCATCCAAAGTGGATTATGATCTGCATAGGTATTTGGAAGAATCTCTATATCTTCCACTTGTTTTATCTTCTCCAAGCTAGTGGTTTTTGTTGTGTCTCTTCTCTTTGGACTGTTCAGCCTTGTGACTTAAACAACTCTGCACAAGTTCATTAATACATCTCTTTTTAAATCCATCTTACACAGAACCTAAGAGACTCCATTTTGGTACAACTACAGTTCCCAGTTTCCTTCCATTTCCTTGCATTTGGCATCTCATGCAAGTACATAGAAACAAGCATAAAAGACATAAAATGATAAAATAATAGTAATAAAACATAATAGCATTCTCAAAAAAGAGAATCAAGATGTGAGATTGATTGGAAGAATGTATGATTCAGGCAATAAGTGCTGCCTTTCCTTGGCTCATTTAACAAGTTTAGCAGTCATGTAGCACAGAGGTCCCCAACCCCCAGTCCGCGGCCCGGTGCCAGTCCATGGCCTGAGCTGAACTGCGCCATGGAGACAGATCTCCCGTCCCCCTGCACACGCACTGACTCTCGCACAGCTGATTTGCGCATGCACATGTGCTTCAGCTTGCCTGTGCCAGTGCTGTGCTGCCATTTATGCATGCGGATGAGCGCCTGCGCCCCCTGCGCCGCCATTTGCACAGGTACATGAACACGCCCACACAAGTGCCGCATTGCTGTTTGCGCATGGCCACTCATTTGCACATGCTCGTTCACACATGCGCACAAGCGCAGGGGGGTGCCCCGCCTTCCCCAGCTGGTCTGCAGGGTGAAAAAGGTTGGGGACCCCTGCTGTAGCATATATATAGTAGTTTGTGCCAGCTAGCAGAAATAGGACTGTGCATAGAGTAGTGTTATGGTTTGTTTAATACCTTAGCTGCTGTGGATCCCAAAATGGTTGAAACATGGCACATATTCTAAAAAATCCTAAACAATGTTTTAGTTATTAAGCACCCCATTTTCTATTGGTCACTGGATCATCCATCTTAAAAGTTACATTCAGTGCCTCTAAGTGTGTCCAAGTCTTTCCACTGCATTTATTTAATTATGGGCTGAGTTGTGCTGATTTATTCTTCTGGTTTTCTTTAATGCCCTGTGTTTTGCAGATCAGATGTAGCACTCAGTTTTTAAATTATATTTTTATCATAAAAAGGTCTGAACTGGTTGCATTAATGGCTCTAGGGGAGTAAAACTAATCTTCAAAATGAATGTTCTAAAATGTACTATAGGTTAAAATATTTTTATTAAAATTAGTCTTTTTTTTAAAAAAAAATAAGGACTATAAGCAATGCAGGAAATGTTTTATTCAAAAGCTATTGATCCAGATAAAAGAAAGTTCCTTGAACTGAAATGTGTTTTCTGTCATATCAAGTGTGAGGGGAGGAACCACACAAGAGCTGGAGATGCAATTTATGAAGTTGTGAGTCTGCATCGAGATTCTGAAAGAGAGGGAGAACCAATCAGTGGGTCAAGTGATGTTGATCAGATATCTCCACAGGAGGAAGATGCTGAAGAGGGTAAGGATAAAATGAGCTTATCCAATTCTTCTGCAGGCTGCACACATTCAATATTATCTTCATAATTGTATTTACTAGAGATATCCCTAAATAGCAGAAATGCATGATTAACCATACATCAGTAAATGAGATTATCTCCTTCATTTCGCTTGGCATCAATGCGTTCGGCCAACCCCTCCGCCCGTCTTCCATTTGGCTTCCAGAACTGCTCACTATAGTGCACAGATTAGGGATGTGACTGAAGGGTTGACATCACTCATAAAACCCACAGATACATATCCTTTCCTTCTCATCTATGTGGGAACAAATGACACAGCCAAGGGCAACTTGGAAGAGGTCACATCAGACTTTGAAGCTCTGGGGAGGAAACAAGGATTTGGGGGCCCACATAGTTTTCTCATCCATCGTACCAATACTTGGAAGAGGAACAGAAAAAGAAAGAAAAATACTCTGGGTGAATGACTGGCTAGGAAGGTGGTGTTGATATGAGGGATTTGCTTAGATAGACCATGGACTAAGCTTCCTAGAAGATGGACTGCTAGCAAGAGATGGCTTGTACCTCACATGTACTGGGAAGAATGTGATTGACCACAACATGGAGAATTTCATCAGGAGGGCTTTCAAATTAATTGGAAGTGGGAGGGAGACACAAACACAGAGGAAGGCCTTACGCACAATAAAAGGAACAGTTCTGATGGGGGTTAATAATAACATTTACATGTCACCGCTGCCATCCATCGAGGCCAGTGCCATGGTGGCCTCTGTAGTCACCATCCAGCAACATCCTTGCTGCGAGGACCTCTGCTGCTATGGCCTGCCTTAAGGGAATCTAGGCTGCCCTTTGCAAAGATGGTGGCTGGAGCTTCCCTGCCCTAAAAGAAGCCACAGCCACCATATTTGCAAAGTTCAATCTGGATTCCCTTAAGGCAGGCTAAGGGAAGCCAGGTTACCCTTTGCAAAGATGGTGGGTGCAACTTCCCTGACCTAAAACAAGCTGCAACTGCCATCTTTGCAAAGGGCAACCAGTGTCCCTTATGGCAGACTGTGGCTGTGGATGCCGTAGCAGTGTGTGGTGATGGATGGTGGCAGCAGCGGGTGGCAGGAGATGACAGTGGCGCCAGGCAGTGGTGGATGGTGGCAGCGGCTAAGGTAGGGGGAAGGGGGTGGGGGATAGGCTGTGGGGGGGGGTGGGGGCCTATCAGCCTACCGATCAGCTGATCGGGG